GAAAGAAATGTTGGAAGCACAGGTGACAATCCCCTTTGTGTGAGTGTGCATAGTAGTGATGGCTGGAGTGTGAGGTGCTGTTTCCCAAGGGAGCCTTTTTTTGCTTCTTGCCTTCTGAGCCATTTGAAATCCAAACCCAAGTGCTTTTAGGCCAGGCACTATTACACTGTCTATTCACCTTTCCTTGCAGCCCCTACAGCCTGCACCAGATGCCAGCAGTGATGGCCCAGCTATAAGTGGTGAGATGACTGAGGACACAATCAGGTATATAGGATATGATTCTAACATCCATTTGAAATCTCTGAAGTCAGAAGCAGTGTCAGTCACTGGGGTAAGAATCTCTATGTTGTACATGATTTTCTTATTTTTGCTTGCAGAAACTTTCTGATTTGGCATGTGTGACAAGTGTAGTTGATTCATAGTTATCTAACTCCAAAGCAGTTGACTTTGCTTAAATATTTCACAGTAATTATAATTTTTTTTTGTGAGCTCAAGCACTGATTAATACAGACCAATATTAATTTTATAATTAATAAATACAATGTTATAATTAATTAATACAATTTTAAACTTTACTAACCAGCAAGTTGGCTCCAGATATTCAGTTGGTAACCAACACACAACCCCAGATATTCAGATAGTATAAACTGGTGCAGTTCTGTTAACTTATACTAGCTGAGGATCTGGCAAACAAATTGCATTTTACTTTCTATCGTTATAGTATCATAGATAAATTTTTTAGTCGCTAGATTCTCTCACTTCATTCCACATAGAGCATATGCAGAACACATTACAATTTATTGTTATAATTTTTAAAACAGCCTCCAGCTAGTTTTTATATGTCACTGCTTCTCTAAGCAGACTCAAACAGCTGGAGAAGTCTGCCCCAAATCATTCTTTCTGGAATGCTTCACTGGTATACAAGCCTTTTTTGACAGCAAAAGGAAGAATATAGCTAAAAATCACCCCTCTGGTCCATCCCTCTCATGAGCACCCTTATGAATGAAGGTTTCACCTTGAACTCTCAGCAATATCACTCAAGAACTTCCACTTCCATCCATGCTAATTCCATTCTGGCATTGATGACTTGAGAGATGGCTAGAAAGGAGCACCATGCCAGAATTGGGCTGGTACAAAGGTGTCTCTCTCTACTGAGTTGAGACAGAAGTCTCATATATTTGACTCATTTCAGACTCAACAAGAGAGGTAGCCAATGGCCTGAGAAGGGTCCTTCTAGTGTCCTGGTACTGACTAGTAAAGTGTCATTAGTGATAGTCTGTAAACCTGTGGATTGCATCTCTCCCAGTACCGAGCTCTTGGTACTTTGCACATTGGTTGTACACCAACACAAGAGCTAACCTTGGAAATGTGTTCCTCAACATTCAGCACACTGATGCATAGCTTCTCTGTACCTATGTATGGTACCAAGTAATTTATCTGTTGAGTCTTCCATTTGAAATACTGAAGATATTTTTAGTAGTTCTTGAATCACTGATGTGCAGAAAAAAAGAGATTTCTCTGGTACTGATTTTTTCCTCCTTCCCATGTAGCAGGAGCCCAACACAGCCAGGGCACTCTGGACAAGGGAGTCCTTCCCTTGGAAGAGGTGTACTCCTTTTCTTCATCCCATGGGGGACATGACAGGAACTCCTCTTCTATATACCCTCCTTCCCCTCCTTGGAGAACATAATGGGTGTCAGGAAGAGACTATGGTGAAGGATCTACAAGGGACAGTAGTAAATGTCCTAGTGCCCAATAGAGAGCATCTCCTGGGGCCCCTTGTGTTTCCTAACCCAGTACCTGTCCCAGACTTGACCCTTCTGGATGCCTTGAGCTTGCAGCTATATTCATGCAAGCCTGCATTGTTGTCCCCTTCAACCTTAGATTCCTTTCCCAAAGAGGCAGTGCAGATCGCCAGTGCCAGCTCAGCTTCTGTCCCACATGAAATATCTTGGATTCTGAGGAGGAACATTTCACCACCAGAAGTGATCAGTGCATATACCGTAACATGGTGGTGTATTCTTAGCAACAAGTAACCCATGGAGCCCACTCGGGTCTGATTTAAGAAAGCACTTAAGCCCATGCCTAACACTGAGCACATGAGAGAATTCATTTGAAATCAGTGCAACTGCTCATGCACTTAACATGATTTCTATGCGTACACAATTTAATGCACTGGTACCTTGATGCAGCAGCCCTTCTTTCTAGGTTGCTTGCTCAGGATGCATCTAAGCAGCATTGGCCCACCAGCATGAGGCTTGAACTAGCACACACTGCAGATGACATGCAACCTTGCCTTTCTTCCCCCTCATCATACTCATGTACAGAAGATGTTTCCTTTTCTCAAACAGAGAGAGATGACTGCCAGCAAGTCAACAACTGCCTGTTCCCAAAAGGAGTTTGAGACTCTTGCTTTCTTGGAATATCTGCAGTCACAGCTTCTGTGAGTATTGGGTTTTCCAGTGAAGGGGACAAGAGAACCAAGAGTATTGGAGATTTATTGTAGACTGGGGTGTCAAGCTTGCCTGTGCCCTTGGCTGGATCCAGACTGGGGCTCCTCCTGGACTAGATCTAGACCTGTTGGAAGCAGTGGGACAAACAGCGGTAGCAGTGTGAGTGGTAGTGGTAGGAGGACAGGGGGTGGTGGCCTGGGGGTTAACACAGCTTTTGCTCACCCCCCTACTGCTGACACATGTGCCCATCAGGGATCCATGCCCGAATTTCAGCGGGACACCCTGTCTTACAGTTATCACTTAGTCCCTCTGTGAGCCAAGTGAAATGGATTCACGAGCTAGATCTGACCCATGGACTGTGTGTTTGACTCTCCTGTTCTGACAAAGATGATTATCTTGATCTCCAGTAATGTTTAAAAAAACATTTATGCAAAGTTATGCCTTTGATCCAACTGGTTCCATTCTGTTCTCAGTCTTGTTTTTGTCTTGGGCCAGATCCTCAGCTGGTGCAAGCAATTGTAGCTCCATAGCTCCTTTAATTCAATGGAGCTATACTGATTTACATTGGCTAAGGAGATGACTTATTTAACTCTGCTGACTTATATGGAACTGCTCCATATTTATCCTTATGCAACCAAGATCAGTATCTGACACCCCCCTCTCTTCCCATTAGCATAAAAATATTAAAATAAATTTAATCTGAATTTTAATGTGATATAGTCCTGAATTCCCCATTTGATTTAGTTCTTAATGCTACAACTTTACATTGTGAATTTATTTTCATAGCACCCATTAGTTCTTCTGAAAACCTTTATTTTCTAAGCTGTACTGGAGATGTGGCCAACACTTTGTTAGGTTATAGATTTCAGTGTTGTCCTGGCTGTTGGATTACAGAAAAACAGAGACCCGTGCTCAGACAGCAGAGGAGAAATCAGAAAAAGTGGAGGAGCAACTGGAGAAAGCTCTGGGGAGAATTCAAGAGTTGGAGAAAGAGCTGGAAAAATCACACAGGGCCCAAGAAGCAGCATCAAAACGTGAGAGTTCATTTTCCAACCCTTTTCTAGTTCTTGGCGACCTCAAAGGGCCACAGCCTGCATTTGGAAGAGCTGCTGTAAGAGATGAGATCAATGATCTATTTCATCTGGTATTCTGTCACTTGCTTTACAGGCAGATGCAAGAAATCCTGAAGGAGGCATTAGGGCAGGGGTAGGCAACATTTTTTGGCCAGAGTGCCGAAAAAACCACAATGTCTACTTTGGAAGCTGCTGGAGTGCCAACATGTCGGAGCCCAGAGCAGCTGTTTGCAGCCTCCCTACTGCAGCTGGCCCATGGAGCTCGGTCTGCTTGCAGCAGAGCTTGCAGCCTCCCAGCCACCTGCTGGGAGCAGCCTGGGCTCCATGGCTGGCAGCAGCTGCTTAGAGCCTGGGCTGGCAGTGGTGCACCGAGCAAAATGGCCTTGCGTGCCATGCTAGGCACGCGTGCCAGGGGTTGCTGACCCCTGCATTAGGGGCTGAAATGCCTTCAGGGAAAGCTATTCCCTCCTGCTTATTTACAAATGAGTATCTAAGGCACGAAGACTGACATCCACTGTCATGTGGGAGGTCTGTGGTGGACCATGTGGTATGCGAGTCACAAGCTAGTGTCCTAAACCTTGGATCACTTTTCTGTATAACTATACATTTTTTTTTTATACTATACGTATATTCTTGATCCTGTTTTGAACCCTCCCAAACTCTTGGCCTAGCTTTTGGCCCTGCTACAATGAGTTTTTGATTATCAAAGATAAAAAGACCCAGGAATGCATTATTTTGTGTTTGTTTTTAATGTGCTTATATATTATTTTTAAATTTCAGAAATCCACTTCCAAGAAGAAACCAGTCCAACTTCTCATACACAGTCTTGCACTGCCCGGTCCAGGAAAGCCAGCAAACACAAAAAATAAATAGTAGTAATGCCTAAGGAAGTTATTTGGGTTCTCGTTTGTAGCAAACTTTGATTCAATACCAGTGGCTTCTTCAGTATACACTTTCATCCCTTGCTTTACTGGTATAGCAGAGGGGGTGGAACTTCTTCAAATATGCCTTCATAAGGAGAGCCATTGCAAAAGCCTAGAAAGAACCTTCCCCCAATTTATGAATGATTGGAAAAGTACATTTTGGGTGGTTTGGTGTCTGAGCACATTCATGACTCAGAGGGCTTGAACATACTTTGTGGGCAAGGTTTGCAAGACATAGCAACATCTCTCTTAATAGAGCCTGTAATAGATCAGATAATAGAAGGCTGGCTATACTACCCCAGCTCTTAAGAATTTGGCACACTGTGTAGGTCTCTGCATCCTCCTTCAATGCTTAGCCAGTGAGCAGAAATCTGAGGACAAGGCTTCTTTCAGGGTTGGAGACTGAGGGGAGCTCTGAAACCAATTCCATCCCTGAATTGCACATGAGCCCTTAGTATTTTAAGGTAAGCGTCCAGTTACAGACTATGGTTAGAGAAAGGAAAAAGTTCTGCCCTGTGTTGCTTGATAAACAGATAAGGCAGCAGACAGCATTTCTTGTGAGAGCCATCCTTGTCATGGTTGTTATCCTTTTAAATAATGTGCATGGCTTTTGCTACACTAGAATGTTTATTAATGGGGGACCTGGAGGGGTGCATTCATGCAAGTTTGACTGGGAGATTGCTGACTGCAATCCATGGAACAATGCACAGAAGCATTAGAGATGATACTCAGAAGTGACAAAGGAAGAATCTTGTCTAATTGTGAGGCTCCCAAAAGCATGCATGCATGCACCCCCACCCCCACTCCTTCATTGGGACCAGAGCCTACTCATTGTTTTCCTCCCTGTGAATCCTGTGGAAAAACTGTTTTTACTGTATTTTTCACATACAATGAGCACTACACTTTCCAGCTTCTGGGAAAAAGTTGTATGCCATATACAAGAAAACATGGTATACAGAATTGTTAAACATGTACCTCTGCTCCAGTGAGAGGATAACATGTCTTTAATATCATCTTAATCAGTAGAGAACATTACGACTTGCCTTTTTCAAGTTACTGATTCTGAAGACCTTGTTTCAAGTCTCCTGTGTTTGGTGTTATCCTTAGTAATATTTTATTCATTGTGTGAAGCCTTTAGAAACATTTTCAGGGTCTGTTCCATGCCAGGGTTTAGTTTCCTGGCCTAGGAGGAAACATCATCCTTTACTTTATGTAACCTGGGAAGTGACAGTTTTTTACATTGGGAAGTTTCCCTTAATCTAAATTTGAGAATGTGCTGTAACCCATGCATTGAGAATTTCCCCTCCAGTGCAGATATTTTTTTGTTTGTTTTGATCTTTAAGGTGTTTTGTACAATCTTTTTTTTTTTCCCCCCCCCAATTCCACTGACAGCAAGTTTTCTCCAACGCTGCCACTTTTTACCAACTTTCTATGCAACATGCAAGCTACAGTAGCTGCTATGGCAGTTTTCTAAAGAAATATAGTTTAAGAACACAGGTTCCACAGCCATGAATGTTGCAAACCAGAAAACCACAAAATATTCCATTCTATTTGCACAACAGATATTGCCCAGCAACTGTGTTCTTGACCCTTAGGAAAGCTATATTCTTCAATTGTGTGATCTGGATGTCTCCCTCTGGTAAAATAAAATGCCAGAAAAGCATGATTTCCTTTAACGTTAAAGCATTGCCCATGAGGGGTTGCAGGCAGAGAGAGCCTAGCTGAGGGATGAGATAACAAAAGAAACAACTTTTGATGGGTTTGAATGAATTCAAGGCAGCAGGGCCTGATAAACTTTACTCCAGGGTACTGAAGGAACAGACAGAGGTGATCTCGGAGCCTTTGGCAATAATATTTATGAAGTCACAGGAGATGGGCAAGGTACCAGAGGACTGGAAAAGGGCCAACATAGTGCCTCTTTTTTTGGGGGTGGGGCCCAAAAAGGAGGACCTAGGGAAATACAGACTAGTTAGCTTCAATATCCAGGAAGATACTGAAGCAATATCATAAGAAAATCTATTTGCAGGCATCTGGAGGAGAAAAGGCTCATTGCAAGCAGCTAGTATGGATTTACTAAGAACTAATTATCCCAAACAAACTTGATCTCCTTCTTGGACAAATAACTAATTGGGTGGATGAAGGGAATGCAGTGGGCATAAAGTATGTGGACTTCAGCAGGCCTTTTGACAAAGTCCCATATGACTTCATAAATAGGAGACGTGGGCTAGACAAAACTACTATAAGGTGGATAGATAACTGGATCAATAGCTGCAAGCAGAGGGTAATTACAAATGGATACATGTCAGAATGGCAGGAGGTTTTAAGTGAGGTTCCACAGTGGTCTGAACTGGGCCCAGTGCAATTCAACATGTTTATTATTTGGATACTGGAACTGAGAGCTTAAGCACATGAGCAGATGACTTGAAACTGAGAAGGATTGCAAACATGGAGGACAGGATTGCCATTCAGAAGCATCTAATAGATTGGAAGCCAGACCAGACCAAACAGGATGAAGTTTAATGATGGCAAATGCAAGGTGCTACACCTTGGGAGGAATAATCAAAATCTATAGGTACAAAATGTGTGACACCACCCTAGATGGCAGCACTACAGAGAAGGATCCTGGGAGTCTTGGTTCATTGTAGACTCGGTACGAGTCTGCAGTGTGATGTAGTTGTACAAAAGGATAACAAAGTGTTGAGATGCATTGATAAAGCATTAGTTGGGTGATGTGGGAGGTTCACTCAGCCTCTTCACTCAGCACTGGTTAGGCCTCTAAAGTATTGTGTGCAGTTTTGGACTTCCCATTTTAAAAAGAACATGGAGAAGTAAGGGTCCATAGCCAGGTGACAAAAATGATAAAGGGCTTGGAACGCAATTCATATGAGGAGAGGTTGAAGGAAATAGGCGTGTTCTCCTTGTGGAAAAGGCACTTAAGAGTGAATGTGATAGCTGTCTTCAAATATCTGAAGATGATGAGGGGGGGAAATCTTTTCTTTGGCTGCAGACAGCAGGACACAGACCAGTGGCTTGAAGTTGCAGTAAAGTAAGCTTGTATTGGATATCAGGAAGCACTTCTTCACTGTTAAAACAATGAGGCAGTGGAATAGATTGCCTAGAGAGGTTGTGGTATCTCACTGGAGGTGTCCAAGGAGAGGTTGAATAAGCATCAGTCAGGGATGATCTAGGAGTAGCTGTGCCTATATTCTATTATGGATGTTTGACATGCTTCTGGGCTTTTCTGGCTGCCACATGGGGCTGGGAAGGGATTTTTTTTTCTCCCTCTCCTGCTGCTACATCAGGGCTGTTTATTTGGGATTTTTTACCTTCTTCAGAAGCATTGGATGTTAGCTATAGCCAAGGCTGGGGATTTTGGCTGGTGTGCCAGTGCTCCTGCTGGGGCTTAAATGTGGAAGTTTCTGGCTTAGAGAGACTTGTCTCTCTGCTCAAGGTCAGACCGATCACCACAATTGGAATTTTGCTCCATGGTCAGATGGGTACACCTGGTAGTGGTTTTTGCCTTCCTGTCACAGGCCAGCTGGGCACTGTAAGTATATCAATTTAGCCACTGGGCTGTTTGGTTTGGGATTGAGGAGGCAGAGTTGGGAGTAAAGCAATGGCAAATTTATTATAGTTTACACATACACAACAGTTAACAGAAAGATAAATGTGATAAGCAGATAATGCAGTATTAAAGAACTAATAATAAATAATAACAGATAGATTAACCTGTCACAGGCCAGCTGGGCACTGTAAGTATATCAATTTAGCCACTGGGCTGTTTGGTTTGGGATTGAGGCGGCAGAGTTGGGAGTAAAGCAATGGCAAATTTATTATAGTTTACACATACACAACAGTTAACAGAAACATAAATGTGATAAGCAGATAATGCAGTATTAAAGAACTAATAATAAATAATAACAGATAGATTAACCTGTCACAGGCCAGCTGGGCACTGCGAGGGTATCAGCCACCAGCTGTTTAAAACAACAGATAGACAGATGTGGGTTGGCAACTTATCGATAGCCCCTCAATGCCAGGTGCTCGCCAGATGATTCCAGCGAAGTCAGGCATTTTCGATTGACGCTGTTAGAGGGATTACTGGGGAAGGTCCCTTGATTAGGATCCGATTCTTACTTACACCGGGAGTCTGGGGTCCGGGCGTGGAACAGCAGTGACTGTTCTGTTCCATCCTTCCTGCTGGTCACCTGATGCATGCGCTTCTTATACCTAGTTTTATGTTAATCTGTTGGCTTTAAAGCCATTCACAATCTTGTTCTATAGCTGTTGCCCTATGGGATTAAAAGGTGTTAAAAATTATTATAAAAGGTTACTACCCAAACTTGGGTTTATCCAATTAGCAAATTGCAATGCAGCATTTTTATGTTTGAAATTAACATTATTCCACCTAAATTTAACCCCTTTAGATCTCTCTGACTATGCTTTTTTGAAATGTGCTTTCCTGGAATGTGCTGGGTAGGCCAGCGGGTGAATCCAGTTTTTATCATCATCAAGGCTAAATTCTGAGCAAGAAAGAACCATTAGGTCAGCTAATTTTACAACTATAGCTTTGTCTTTGGGGCCTAGTGAAGGTTACTACCCAAACTTGGGTTTATCCAATTAGCAAATTGCAATGCAGCATTTTTATGTTTGAAATTAACATTATTCCACCTAAATTTAACCCCTTTAGATCTCTCTGACTATGCTTTTTTGAAATGTGCTTTCCTGGAATGTGCTGGGTAGGCCAGCGGGTGAATCCAGTTTTTATCATCATCAAGGCTAAATTCTGAGCAAGAAAGAACCATTAGGTCAGCTAATTTTACAACTATAGCTTTGTCTTTGGGGCCTAGTGAGTTTTACAAACAGTTACAAGTTACATTTGTGGGTTACAAAAATACAAGCTTTATATTAGACAAAAATTTCAAATGCCTCTAAGAAGCACATATTTATTGCTTATTAATTTCTTTGGTTTTGGCTGTTACACCTTCCTTCACAGCAGGGGGCATAGGCCTCTTCCTGGAATTTAAGTGTATTTTAACAACCTTTGCAGCAACAGGATGTTGGCCACTATGGTCCCCCTGCCTTATTTTTGGCAGGTTAGGGTGTTGTCCTGTGGCTGTATCAGGATTGACTGTGTAGTTTTGCTAATAAGATAAACGATGGATTTGTATAGGATGTTTTGGATAGGAATGATCCTGCCTCAGGCAGGGGGTTCAACTAGATCTCTGGAGTTCCCTTTGAGTTCTGTTTTCTTATGATTCTATGATTTTTACCCCACCCTGCAGCCCAGGCCCTGCCCTTCCTCAGCTCCTTCCTTTGTCCCCACTTTGCCTGTTTTGCTCTTCTTTTATCCTGTCCTGTAGCTCTACAGTCCACATTTGCCCCTATTGCTCCTTCATTTCTTCCTTTTCTCTACCCCTGCATCTCCATCACTCCTTTCTTTTTCTGGACTGCACACCTCCAGTACATCTTCTCTTTACCTTACCCCAACCCCGCTCCTTTCTCTACCCTACTTTAATTATCCATTCCCTTTGGCTTTTTCTAACTTATCTGCCACTCTCTTCTTTCTCTGATCCTCTGCATCCTCTGATTTGTTCCATTCACACACAAGGAAGACTGAGAAGCCTAAAAGTCTCCAAGACCAGCCTGTGTCTCTGTGTGTTGGGGGGAGGGTCGGGAAACAGTTATCTCCAGCCTGTTATCAAGGACACAGGTCTGTTTGGTCCTTTAGCTAACTCCCACTGGGACAGCAATGCAGCTTGGCTGGGATATGACAGCTTGGCTCCAGGCTGGGATCTCCCCCTCTATAGCCATGCTCTGCATCCATCCCTGAACCAGCAGGAGTACCTGCATGTCCTTGTGTGCTTCCCACACAAGCCTTTGGCAACTGATCAAGTAACTGTGCCCTGAGCTAATTAACACAAACAGCAAGTTCCCAAATGTTTATTTCCATTACACTATTCATTTGCTGTCCCTGGACCAACTATGTTCCATATTTTGACACATCATCCTAGAACACAACAAATTGAGTCTGGTGGGGCTGGGAAGGGCCAAGAGATGCCTACGAGCTTCCCACAATTCTTGCTCCAGCTCCACTTCCCGATTTCAGTCATGCTTGCACTGCACATCTCTCACTGCCAGTTCAAAAAGCTGCCCCACAGATGGTGAGTGATACAGCAAGAAAATCCCTAGAGCTGGATGAGGGTATGGAACTTTGTGAAAACCAAAGGTCCTGCTGGATGTATTGTACAGGGTGTCAGTTTTCTGCCTCTTTACTTGTCCCAGGCACCTGGCTTTTGCAGGGAAAAATATTCCCCATGGATCTTACCACAAAGGTTGGGAAATTAACATTAGATATTGGGGGCCTTTCAAAATAAATGCTAGTTTCTCTTTCTACCCAACACCCATGGAAGAATAGACCTATCCCTAGGGGTGAAGCTTGTGTGGGCATAAAATACCATTCTTGCACTGCTCACTGTGGCTTGGTGATAAAAGAAATACAATGGGAAAATTCAGAGGCAACAATCCCTACCACACCTGCTCCTGCAGCTCCAGCCCCACCCCCTGCACACTTAAGATATGGAATACTTTTTCCAAGCAAACTTAAATCCTCTGCTGTCTAACACACTTTGTATTACAAGCCCTTGTGTGCTTTCCATCCCAGCGCTACCACAGTTCATACTGACACGGAGGCAGGCAGTTCATTGCTCTTGTGAGTGACTGTGTGAAATGGCTGCAGGTGCAGCAGCCCCACTTGAGCTCCAGCTTCTTCCAGGAAGGCTCTACAACATGGGGGAGTCCTTCTTGTCCTCCTGAGGCTCTGGGTGGCTTGCAGTGTTATCAGAAAGGCTGGCTGTACATCTGTGGCTGGCTGCAGATCCAAGATTCATCAGGTCAAAGGGCAAAGGCAGAACAACAGTGGATGGCCTCCCTGTAGACAGGGCTTGCAGCATGTGGAGGTAGCGGAGCTGAGCTGCAGCTGGGGTGCTGGACAGGATTTCAGCTGCCATCCTCAGGGATTCAGAGGCAGCCTTTTCTCCCTCAGCAGCTATCACCTACAACACAAGGGAATGAAAGGGGCTTTTATCAGCAGTTGCTAAGCTAGCCCCAGGGGAATGGTGGTAGCTGGGAGGATGCTGTCTGATAGCATTTCTTAGGAAGTCTTAGGGCTTGTCTATGCTGCCTCTGTACCAAGCCTGGGAACATCACCAAGAAGTATGTCTCACCTACTCACTCTTGCTCCACACAGCAGAAACCAGGTGCAAAGTGACCACTTCAGAGCTTCGCAACAGTCTGCACCTGAGAGAGCCTAGGAGTAGGGTTGGCATGCACTCTGGGTTCCTCTAAGGTGGCTACATTGCCTCATTTCTGGCAGAAGTGTGTAAAGCAAGAATGAGTGGTAGTCGGTCTTCTTGGTGGGGTCCTGAGCTCAGCATAGAGGCAGTACAGACACACCTTTAATGGAAGCAGTTGAGGCAGGAGCACTTCTGGGCTTCTCCATGGTGAGGGCTCTTGTAATATTCCTTACAGCACCTTCTGCAGAAAGATGGTGGGAAGGGAGGGGTCACTGGCTCTTCTAAGGCCAGAGTTCAATCTCTTCTCCACGGTGACCATGGCTGGGACTGCAACAGGACAGCTGCCCCACCTGTAACTAAATTCCTCCTATGCTGTTCTTTAAATTATAATTTCCCATCCTGTGGGTTAGATCCCTCTAAGGGGAGGTTGGAGAAGGTTTCACAAGTGGGAAGGGTTTACAGGAGAACCAAAGGATGGAACAGCCAATTTCCAGCTTGGGAGAGGGGCTCTCCCTGTGGTATATCCAGTCTGCCTGGGGCAGGCTCTATGCCTAGAACATGGCTGCCTGTGCCATTGACACTTAAACAGCAGTGAGGCTGTTCTGGGAAAGACTGAATGTTATACTGTGTGAAAACAGGAAGCACTCTGTTGTCTTACCCGTACTTTGGCATGTCTATGAGCCTCTGCTTCTGCTGCCAAGGACTGCTGGAGTTCAGCTGGCAGCCTCACATGATTGCTGTAGGGGGAAGATAGGAGTTACCTGGGGCCTGGTATTCTGCACCTCTACTTAGTGGCAGGAGCTTGGGTGCATGAAGCTGGTGGGGTTTGCAGTGGCTCATTAGAAGGTATCAAGCTGCAGCTATGTTCTCATCTGAGCTGAGGCAGTTTGCTAATATCCCTTGTGATTTAGATTTTGTAGCCTTCTCAGCCCATCTCCTATGCAGCTGGGCCCAGTTTAGCCAGCACTGAAATCACTGGGAGCTTTTCCAGTGACTGCTTGACAGTTGGATTAGGAAGGCTTTGTCTGCCAGAGGATATTTTTCTACTTTGAAAATTGGATAGGAAATGTGAATAGTAAATAAGAGGGCCAGCTCTTCAGCTGGTGCCAACCAATGTCCCTGTGATGATATTGGTGGTGCTGTGCTGATTTGCTCCAGCTGCAGATCTAGTTCCAAATGCCATAACTGCAAAGCACAGGGTTTGTGCAAGCTTGAAGCTGTGCATGTAATATTTTCCTCTGAAAGCTGAATGCAGCTGCAGAGTACTGTAGAAAAAGCATGTGGGCTAGCAGTGGGGTCTGGCTGCTGCAGGGGATACACTTAGATAGATCTTCAGGTGCAAAGCTATAAGAAGAGCAGAAGCTGGCAGTCAAGAGAGTGAAATTTGCATAGGGGCAACAGCAAACTTCTTTACCCTGCTGTGTGTCTGCTTCCTATGTGTCCTACCTACATTTCTGTTCTCTCCAACTTGATCCCCCAGCGACATGTGACTGCATCCAAAGCTACCTGTAAAGACGATGACTGATTTGAGTATGGGCAGCATAGAGCTTACAGACAACTCAGACAGGTGATACGGTCCCATGTGATGTACTGTCTGGAGAAGTGCTGAATGTATGTATCTGGTACAAAAGTATTCACAGCTACTTGTTCATATTGCAGCAAGGCATGTGCAATAATACAGCTGGCTTCTGTGAAGGGAGAGGCACTTAGATCCCTTTAGAGGACAGGGCAGAAGGATAAATGACAAAGTTCTTCCCCTAATTATTATGTCCTATTTTGTGCTCAGGGGGACTTGCTGCTAGAGAACTTTAACTTCCTCAACAGAGGAGACAAGGGAACCAACTCTGGAGTCAGTGGTGTAGCACCCATATATACTAGATCTGAATCTGTCTCCAGCTGTTTCACTTTAGTCTACATGGCTCATCTTGTCTTCTATTCATTGCTCCCCAATGCCCTTCTGAGCAGCTGGTTTTCCACCAACTTCATTCCACTGATTTCTCACTTGCCCTATGAGACCAATGCCTGAGAGTGATTCCATTTTTTGCCAAAGCACTCTTGAGTTCCTTAGAAAACAGGACTTGGTATTATCCATTGCCATTCATTGAACACAGCATGTGATCCTGCCAACAGGTCCACTGGGTGGATCACGGTGGGCTTCTTAAGGTGCATCCTCACAAGTGGGAACATGAGTTTCCCCAGAGACAAACAGCAGCAGCAGCAATTGTGCTGCTACTACTTGTCCACAGGGAATGCCTGTGCATGCGTGCTCTGGCATGCAGCGTGTTGTCCCGGGTGGTGATCCAGCAGCAGGGAGTCTGGCTGGCAGCCAGAGCATGGCTCCAGTCAGCCAGGTTCCTGTTTCAGGCAGCACATGCTGCCACCATGTATACCACCCTGCCTTTTTTTGGTGTGGGTTTTTTTGGACCCCGGGATTTCCTGATTTCAACCCCTCCACCCCCCCTGCACTGCAAATTAGCAGTGCAGGGAACACCTGCATGTGCAGCGAATGTGGTGTGTGGCACTGCAGATGGGTTTGCAGTGCTGCATACTGCAAGTGGATGCTTGTCTAGGTGACCCTTAGAGGCCTCTCCACCAAGCCTTGATTAGCCATGGGTTGAAAGAAAGCTGTGGTACCCTATCCCAATGCTGTGGCCCTGCCCACCTCCATGTGGAAATACCTTTACCTTTATTTCCTGACCAATGCTCTTTTTCTCCAGGAGGAGTTCAGTGAAGGACCGATGTGCTAGCAAGCGTTTCATGGTTGTCTGTACCAGCAGCTGGATAGTACTGGAGATGTTGACCAGAGTGGTTAGGAGGAGAGAAGCATTCTCCATGCGGTAGAAACAGATGGCATCTATTTCCAATGTAACTATATCTTTGGTCACCACCTAGACAGAAAAGATTTTGGGAAATGGGGTGGGTTCTGATGGCTTTAATTACACGGAAGGGTTAGAGACACTGGGGAAAATGAAGAATGGCTTTGTGGTTAAAGCAGTAGGCTATGGCCCAGAAGATGCTTACAGTTATCACAGATTTATATCATGACTCTGCCTCTGGTCATTGCAACCTTGTGCAGGACCCTTCATCTCTGCATTTTAACTGCCCCCATTTTACAGATGAGAACTGATGTCATTCTGCCATCCTTTGTCCGTCTGCCAAATGCCATTTCTGGCTCTGCCACTGACCTTCTGTGTAACATTTTCCTTCTCTATGCCTCTTTTTCCCCTCCTATGCTTTGTCAGCCTAGTTTGCTTTGATTGTAAGCAGGCTGGGGCAGGGCCTGTCTCCTGTTGTGTTTGCAGAGTGCCCAAAACAATGCTGTTAATCATTATTTACAGTTGCCTTCAGTATGTCCTGGGGGGGGTCACTGCTTCAAGGAGCTTAGTCTTGGGTTCTTACACGTCACTATGGCAATGTTGTTACTGCACTGTGATTTAGTACTTCCCGTTGGAGGTCTGAGATGATCTAGTGATGCAAAGAGTAATAGACATCAATGATGCAGCAGCACAGAGAAAGGAAGTCAAAAACAGCAAATAAAACACAGGTCTTCTATAGGGAGCTACCCCCTTCATGCTTGTGTATACCTGGACCACTGAAATGGCAGATGCTCAGTCCTTTGCCCTTTCAACAGTAAAGTGGACTCAATTCACCTCTGTGAGGATCCTTCCAAAGAGATGTAAAAGAATTGTATTCTTGTCCCCTCTGCAGGGGTATCAAAGACCCTGGCATACGTTTGGTGGGAATGGGGACCATGCTCTTCAGCCAGAGCCACCGCTGCCTCCCTCCCTCCTATCTGCTGTGCAGCAGACTAGTATAGCTCATGTTAGGCAGCCTTCCAAAATAATGAGGCCCTAAAGGTACTGTTTTTAACTTCTTGTTTTGGAGTTTTTAGGGTGCTCTTTTGGTCACATTTTCATGTTTTATCATGCAATTGGGAAGGCAAACAACTTAATCTTCATAAAAAAGAGCAAGGTTCTTGTACATTCTCATGGCTGCAGGAGCGGAGACTTCCAAAGAGGACACTAAATATAATGAGATTTATGATAAAATCACAAGAGCCAGCAACACTGAGCAGTATGCTAGAGCCAATAAATTGGTGTCCTTCACCTTAGGATCAAAGGCAGTATCTAAGCATGAGTTCCTTCTATTGCATGAGGGCAGAATGACCAAGTCTAGCTACAATTAATTTTGGTTTTAAGTCCTTCTCTTGGGTAGCAGTAGTGTTTTCTGTCACCTTTTTCATTGGAGGGACAATCAGATTGGACTAGTTGTAATGATAAAGAAGCAAGGGAACATGTGGTGCAGGAGTTCTTACCTCATGGAAGGGGATCTCTAAGGTTCTGAGGCGAAGGTCTACCTTGTGGTATGTATCCAGACAGGGAAGGAAGAAGAAGAGGCCTGTGTGAGGAAGAGACAAGGCAGGAGATAGTGACTATGGACGCCACAGAAGAATTCTACTACTTGATTCTGAGAGCAGCAAGTATGGGGCCATGCTGGGCAGAACAGAAGGAAGGAACTTGTGTATGTGTTTGCTGGAGAGGCAGTCTCTCCAACATTAGGACACCTATCCAGATGTGTGAGAGAAGAATAAATTCTTCCCAACAGATCGGGCTGCAATATCATAACCAGAGAGATTCTCCTGGACATCCTGGACAATGGATTCTATTACTCCCTGCCCCCTTTCAGTCTCCCCTTATCTCAATGCATTGCATTCACATTTCACAGATGAACACATGTCCTTGGACTGAGATGGGCCCGAGCTGCATCTCATAGTTCAGGATCCAGTCCTGAGCATTTTTGAAGAAACGGGATGTTTGGAGAGGGTCCTGACTGAAAGCTCTGCCTGGAGTCATAAAAGTAGGGGCATCCAAAAATACAGTGTCTGTACCCTGGGTTCCCTGTTCAAGGTTACTTAGGCTTCTGACATAGAATGTGCATAGATGGGACAGGCTGATGGAGCTGAGAGATACAAAGGTGCATGGGACAGAATGGTTATTGGGCCTGTTTAGACCCTGCAGATGAGAAGAAGAGGGAAACGACCTCAACCCAGTGGGTGGGAAGGGGCTATTTTTCCACTGTTAATGGGTTTCAGAACTGGTGAAGGGTGTGAAGAGATAGAAAGAGAAAAAGTTAATTGCCATGAGTCCTAAGCCCACAGCTTCAGTAAGGTTTGGAGGCCTGCAGGTTTAAGGGAGTCCCCTTACGAGCTGTCCTTACCAAGGGAAGGAGCCAAAAAGAGACATTAAAGCCAGGCCTTCCCCTGCCTGCACAGAGAGATGAGTGAGGTGAGGGAGCAGCTAGCAGGGGGCACTGTCAAGTAAGCTATGTGTTTCCTGAGTCTCCCACCCACATGTCTGACACAGCACCCTCTATCCCATGTGAACTCCCTGAAGAACCAGCTGTGGAGAGAGCTGCCTGTCAAGGATAGAAACAAAGAGCAATACCTACTTTGCTAGCCATTATCAGATGCTGTGAGAGAGGGGAGAGTGCCAAAGCCCTCAGGGTTGGAGAGGTAGGAGATGGATAAGGTCACTGGGGAGAGGGGAAGAATGACCCCAGCTCAGATCTGTTGAGATAAGATCATGGTGGACCTCTGTCTGTGGAACAGGGAGGAGGAAAAAGAACACGTCAGAGTTGTGTGAAATGAGTGTGAGGATTCCTTCTAAGAGCAGGGGCATTGGTGACGGATCTGGGATTGAGTCCAACCCATTCTGAGGCTGGCGAAGGTGAGGGTTGAACAAACTGCTTACCGGGCCCTCTGGCCCTTCCAGGAAGGAGGCGCCCAAATCGGAACACAATGGCTCTCTCGTACTCCCGCACGACCTGCAGTGGGAGACACAGAGGCTGGAATTGGAAAGCGAGGGCAAGAGAGAGCAGGGCTGTTGAGAAGGAAACAATGGTTTTGGGGAAAAAAAACATCCAAGGCAAACCCTATGCAGACCAGACTCTTAGCTGGTGTAAACTGGTGAATTCAGGTCACCTATTTACCACAGCTGAAAATCTGACTCAAAGATTTTATAGCTAACTAAGGACTGTACTCCCATTTGTGTGAGAGAATGGCTGGACTCAAGAAGAAATACTGTCCTTTGTGATTCTAACTGGCAGCAGATTATACCAACCTATTATAAATATTGCAGAACATTTTCCAAGATGAGACCAAATTGCTTCAACACTGAAACTTGAGCTCTTTCATGCTGGGCGTCTGCCTCCTTTGAAGGTTTCTTGAACAGATTTCAGCAAAAACAGTGAAGCTATTTCTGAGAGTGAGGCTAATGAAAAATGCATTGATTGGCACATGATACATTCTTCTGAGCCTTTTTTAATATAGTTTCAGGTCTGGAACGCTTTGTAGCAGACTTTAAAGTTGACAAGGGGTGGCCTGTGTGTCATAGGCCACTGACAGACGTTATACTTAAGATGTGATTAACGGGTTAATTAGGTTTTAAGTAATTTCTTGGCCACACATTCACTCAACTGATACAGCGAGGAATAAGTCACAAAATTATTACACAAAATATGTGTAATAGCTTTGTGGCTGATTCCTATCATGCCTTTAATTGAATGAGTAGCCCATGCTCTCAGCCTCTTGAGCACACCTTGCAGGCTGATGGGTGCTCCCAGCTGGAGGAGCTCATGAAGCCCTCTGCTCTGATGGGCATTCCCAGCCAGGGAAGCCCATCAGCTGATTCCTCACTCTCCCCTGGTTGGGAGCTCCAATCAAGTATATATGTGGCATGTCAGGAGGCATGACTGTTGGGACTGTGCACCAGATCTCATGATACCTTTAATAATGTATGTCAGAGGCCACAGACATGCCTTTTGCTGGTCCTGTGAAAATCTGAGCAATTTTTTGGCCAATGTATAAGCCTTTGAAAAAACACTGTAGTTTATGTATGCTCAGTAGACTTGTTGCAGTTCACCACTAAATTCTCTGGAGTATTTGCTGGGACTCGATAGGACTTCCCCCTGAAATTACAGCCCTAGGCCATATCCTGCTATTGGAACAGAAAGCCATGAACTCGTCTCACCTGTATTCATGGTCACCTCCAGATCTAGGCAATGTGGAGGAGAATATAAGAATTGTCATTTACTGGGTCAGACCATAAGGTCCATCTTGCTCAGTATCCTGTGTCATACAGGAGCAGAGAGTGGATGCTGTAAGGAAATGTGAACTGGGTATGACCAGGGTTTTTTTCCACTGTTTCTCTCTGACTTGCAGCTGCCAGTATTTATGGTCTATGAAGTTTTAATTCAAAGGCTGTATCCCTAACTCCCATGCTCAATAGCTACTGATGCCCCTATTGTACAAGAATTTGTCCAATCCCAGCCTCCACAATGTCTTGTGGCCATGAGTTCCACACTTTAATTATATGCTGTGTGAAACAGAACTTCCTTTTGTTAGTTTTAAACTTACTACCTACTAGTTTCATCTTGTATTTTTAGAGATAGTAAATATGGATTTATTATTTACTTTCTCTTCACCATTTAGTATTTTGTAAACCCTTATCGTGTCCCCCTTCAAGCGTTCCTTTTCTAAACTGAATAGGCCTATCCTCTTCAGTCTCTCCTCACATGGAAGCCCCTCCATACTGCCAGTCGTCCTTGTTGCTCTTCTCTAGTTTTTCTGTATCTTTTTTGAGGTGTGGGGACTAGAACTGGACACAGTATTCAAAGTGTGGACACACCATGTATTTATAAAGGGGCATGATGATACTTTTAGTTTTGTTTACAATTCCCTTCATAACAATCCCTAACATTTTGTTTGCCTTTTTGACATCTGCTGAGCACTGAACTGGTGTTTTTTAATGAACTGTCTCCCAGATCTCCTAACCTGTGTGGTAATAGCTAATGTAAAGCCCATCACAGTGATGGTACAGTCTGGGTTATTTTTGCCTGTGTGCATCACTTTACACATCTACACTGAATTTCATTTGCCTTGGACTTTCCCGCTTTGAATAATTTTGTTATCTGCAAATTTGGCCACCTTGCTACTAACCCTCTTTTCTAGCTCATTTATGAATATGTTGAACAGCACTAGTCCCATCACAGATCCCAGGGGGGGCCTGTTATTTACTTCTGTCCATCTTGAAAATTGACCATTTATGACCATTAGATGCAGTAGGTCTCAAGATGTATAGACTGGGAAAAGAAAGGGAAGGGGGAAATACTCAGAACAGGAGCTGGAGGCAGGGCAGAGGAAACTGGGACTGACTGGGCAAAGAAACTGATAGTGAGAACCAGGGATGAAAATGGGAAGAAAAAGACTACACACAGGGCATGATTACAGTGGCATTTCTTAGCTGCTTGACTTTGTAAGCTTAAAATGTCCTTTTAAGGGAGCTTTTCATGTGATCTATATTAATGGCGATGACTAAATGGTTTCAGATCAGTACAGTTTTATTATAAGGAATCACCACAGGATCAGGAGAAAAGTTAATTTAAAGAGGGTGTTCGCTATAATAGGATTAGTCTATTTGCTGCAGGATAACAATGAAAAAATTGGTCCTTTTGGATTGTTAAAAGCAGGGGTTGGTTATAGATGGGATTTATGATAATGTGGTTGTATTGTACATCAAAAAGCCTTGTATTTACCAAGACTTGTAATTTTAAAATCCTTTAAAAGCTGTAATACAGAAATCATTTCACCTGTTCCTGTATTGTTGCCATCTCTGAGATGGAACATAGCAAATGTTTAATGGTGCATAGACACCCTACAACCAGCTTGGGGAATATTAAATAGGCAATGTGCAATTGCCCTAATTGGAATTTGTCCAAGACACCTGACCTGCCCTCTAATTTAGTGAAAGATGATGTGTGATTAGCCAAAATAATACAAGGATCCTACATAAGTTGGCAGGCCCTGGGCCAGAAAAGCACTTACTACATGTTTAACGTTAAGCACCTGTCCCACTGAGACTGATCCACTTATTTACAGCCCTGATGCACACTAAGCCCCCTTCTTCTACCTCCCCCCTTCCCTACCCTTTGTATTCTAATCACTGCTTTCTATTTAAAAGCTCTGCTTCCTACAGTCCCTTCACGGCATCTGATGAAACAAGCCCTCTGCTTACGAAAGCTTATGCTATATATCTCTGATTTAGTTAGTCTATAAAGGTGAAAATCTACCCTGCCTTCTGCATTCTAAGTCAACAAAATTGCAGAGTCTCCCTGACTAGTCTTACCTTCATGCAAAACCAGATGGAGACGGGGAAGGTCATGATGATGAAGAGAAGGGACAGGATGGTAAGAAGCCACTCACAGATACCGAGACCTGAAGACTTTATACCTACAGAAAAATAAAGAGCAAATGCATTAGTAGGTGAATGTTTCTATCTATACTGACTAGGATTTGTTTGTGCAATCAGAAAATTAACTCCCCTGAAGACATTATATCTACAGAAAAATAAAGAGCAAATGCATTTGTAGGTGAATGCTTCTATCTATACTGACTACAGTCAGAAACTTAACTCCCCTTAGGTCATCAACACCTGCTCTTAGCTAGTCAGAGGACATTCACCTAAATTTGCCCAGAGTCAACATTGGGCCTCACATAAAAGGGTTTAAACATGGTCAATTCTTGGACTGCCGGTGCTTGCATCTCCCTATAATTTCTTGATATGCCATGGGGAACCCAACTGTACTATGGAGCCAAGATCTTTTAAATAATAGTTAGAAATCATTACAAAACTGACAGCAAAGAAGGAACTTTCAGCTAATCTTGTTTTCCAAGGTAGATTATGCTAACCTCCTACTGTGCATGAGCATGGCTGGCAAAAACCATGCAAATGTACAGATTTAGTCTAATGTGCATTAACATCACATAAAGTGTTCATCTGTGCTAATGTGCAGTAGCTCTGATTACAGTTCATTAAGATAGTACTTGTTATCACAGGTGCTAAATGTAATGCGCTGTAATTACAGCACATTAATGAACGTTTACATGTGCCAACTGCATGTGTCTACATGTTCATTAATGTGCAGTATTTAATTGTGCATTTAGATCAACTTGCTTAATGAACTACTAACTAAATGTGCAGTAGCACCAGCGCACAGGTTTTTTGTGATGCTTACTGTGCAGTAGCGTATTAACACACTTTTTTGACCAGCTCAGTACTGCACAGTGTTATTAGGCTACTGCACAGTAAGTATCTTGTGTAGACGCACTCACTGTGGAGCAGTTGTGAGTATGGGGTCAGTTACTGCAGAGGAGCAATAAATCTCCATCTCTTAACTGCAGGAACATGGACAGCGGTAACTGCATATATGGAGTTGCACTATATCCTCTCCATTCTCAGTGCAGTTGTGACTGGAAAAGTTTGTGAACCACTGATCTAAGGGATGGTAAACAGTCCCCGGCACCTCTAAGTGTTGATGGGCAATAGAATCAGATGCATAATTGTGAAAGCAGAGCATAATGAAACTGAAAGCTGTGCTCTTAGTTTAGTGCTTTATCTGAGAGGTCACTGGTCAGCCTTGATAAAAGCAGAAAGAGGTTTCCAAAAATGCATTGGGTATTGCACTTTTCTGCCCTGGGGGGAGTTGATTCTCTGGTGTGCTGTGCCTTGGGTAATCATTTATACTTGTGCAGTGTGGGGGTCTCACTCACTTTGCTCTCACTTGGAGGTGGTATAAAGGACTATGCAAGGGTCAGGGTAGAATCAGACACCAGTGCCCTGCTCTAGGCAGTCCAGCTTCCAAAGAGTCAGTGGGTTCTCTGTGCCTGCCCTCCCAAGCCCCTGCCATCCATACCTTCCTCTTGTCGCTCACTTTCCAGCAGTGCCAGCACCTCCATTTCGTCATCGAAAGACACCACCTCGTCCACATCCACCACTGTGGAAGACTGAACTCTGTTGGATGCCCCCACAGTGCTCTGGTCCTCCTTCCTGGTCTCCTTTGCTTTCCCTCTCTTGGACCCCCCTCTTTCTCTACTGGCTTCTCTGCTGCTCTCCATCTTGTCCCTTTTGCCATGCATAGCTGGGGACTCTCTGTTTCTTCTGTGAGACTCACTGGAGGAGCTTCGAGACCTTTTTTCCATCCTTCTGTTGAGAAGCATGCAGCTTTTAGGAAGATTGTCTTGCACTGGAAGTAGGGTGGCTGGTGCCTGGAATTTATTGTGGCCAGAAGAGAAGGTGGGGGCATAGGAAGAAGGGAGGTGACAGGCAGGAGGAGGATCATGAAGCATCAAGCTTATTATGGGCTTGTTAGACTTGTTGGACAGTGAGACAAGCAAGCTGTTTTCCAGCGTCTTTCAATCCCACATGTATTCAGCCCTTTTTTCAGGGAGCTGTGTAGCCCTCCCCACTCAAATGTCCAGACAGGATGGATTTCAGGATGTGAGGTTCTGCATGTGCTTGTGTGACTTTGGCAAAAAATGAAAAAAATGTGCTCCAGTACTTTCGTCTGCAAAATCCCTGCTTAAAGAATTAGCTACCTGTTTCTGGAGACCTCTCCAGCCTGTGAGGATTTCCTAGGATAGCTGATGCCCTGAGCTGAGGTGAAAAATCAGAAATCTTTTCTACTGAAAACAGCTGTCCTGGCTAAATCATGGGTATATTTACAACACTTAGAAAACTGGGTCCTTGTCAGGGATTGGTGTGTGATGTGAAAATTGTTTAGTGCTGCTCCTTATAAATTTCTGTTTGATTTCCTGGTAAGGGAAGAGGCTCGCTACATGAGATTCTTCTCATGAGAATTTAAGTTACAGTCCTTTTAAATTTAAGTAAGGTCATGGGGTCCTGGTTCATTGATGAGCCACTGAATAGAGCCGTAATCCAGGAAACCCATGGAAGTCAATGTAGCTCCATGTGGACTTGAGGCAGAGAGCCTAATACAGGTTTAAACTTTATGCTTAACTCATCAGTGTCTCAGTACACGTAGCACTGCTGGGGTATGGAGGCTCATGAACCGCACAAGCCCGGCAGCTCTTTGAAAAAAACATCCTTTAATATAATGGCCACTCAAGAGGTTACATTGAATGATATTGGAGGGGTTGGTCTTTGCACAATAGCTTGGAAAGATGTCTGTATTAGAATGTAAAATATAAAGACTTCCATTCATTCCAGTAAGAAGAGAAAATCCTGTTTCATGGTGGCTCAAAGCTAGGGCTGGTAGAAACGGGTTTTAACGTGGGTGACTGGTGCCTCCTGAATCTGGCGGGGCACCCGCAGAAGCCACCAATGGCGGTGGCCCTGTCAGGGGGTCCACCAGCTCTACCGACAGCATCAGTGTTGGGGCGGGGGGGCACGTGCACCCCCGTGCACCCCCTACCAGTCGCCTATGGGTTTTAATCAGCGGTTAGCTTGGGAAATGGGGAAAGTCCACAGAGGCTTTTTTTTTTTTTTTTTTTTTTTTTTTTTTTTTTTTTTTTTTTTTTTGAGAGGTCCATATCTCTGTGTTTAACATCAAACCCTGAGTGCTGTTTGTTTGCTTTGGGCTTTCTGAACTTGAATGAAACACATTTTCTGAGATCTTCTCTGCAGCTTCAGTTTCTTTACTGCTGAGATTCTCTCCCCTCTTTCTGTGGTTCTACCTCATGTTTCACAACTGTTCCCTTCTGTAATTTCAATTGTTATTCTTCATTTTCTGTCACATACTATAGCATTGTGTTGATGTGTGCTGTTAAATAGCTGTCGTGTTTCAGCTGCTCAAGGTTGAGGGGGGAGCGGCACACTTTCATTGGAGGGCAAACTGATTATTTGTAATTCTCTTTACAATGGAGGCTGCTTTATTATTAGTTTTGTTTATATGTTTAATGATCCAAAAAGGCAGTTTATAGATCCAGGTAAAAGACTATCATTTTGTTTAATGCACATATAAGATGTTGTAAACATCTATTTGTATGAGAGGGGCTCAAGTCGATGATTATACAAAAAAAAAGCATCTTATTATAAACGCTATTAGAATGAATCTTTGTTCTACTGAAAGATAAACAAATCCTATATATTAAAGAGATGAGCAGCTTAAATGTTTATAGCTCTTACAATAACGTTAACCCATGTGGTTTTATATATGCAGAAAGTCTCCTTCTCCAAAGGCATCTTTCCCACCCAGAGTTTACCGAACTGATTGCTCCTCTCTCAGTTGCTGTAAGCCTGTGCCCGTGTTGTCTTAATGACTTCCACTTATTTATAACTGAATATCTCTTGCCCTGGAGATGGAGACACAAATGCTAGCGATATCCCACTATCCTTGCCAAACAAGGAAAGCTGGTGCAAATAGGATGTTAGATTCCTGCTTGTTCCTGCCCCTTCCTAGGACTCCTAGGCTAGGTGTGAAAAGGTTTTTCTTTTAGGTCCATTATTATATGTATAGTTGCTTAGAGCAAATCACTCGTCACCTTATTCCTTTTCCCTATGGAAGACCTGTTCATGATGAGAGCAGAGATTAATGCTGGCTGAAGGTGATTTTGCATCAGGAGAATGACAGGATATCTTACATACTTTGGGTGAGTCTACATGTTCATTAATGCACTTCAGGTAATGTGCATTAAATCTAGTACCTCCATTGTGAGGTAGTAGAAGGCACATTAGCCTATTTTAATGTGCATTGTCTAAAGAGCATGGTTTTTGTGACACTTTAATGCACATTAAAATAGGCTAATGTGCACTGAAGTGTATGTATAGACATGCCCTTTGAGTAGATTGATGGACATGTTCTTTGGATGACAGTCAGTCAGTTAGCGGAACCTTGTCCCAGCACAGCAGTCTCCTAGTGCACATTGATTTGTAATTCAGATGGGACTTAACGATGTTCTCAGACTTTGCTAAAGCACTGAATGGCTTTAGCACAGTCTGGAAGCATTTGAGGCTCCCATTATATCAGGGTACTGAAGAGCTGTTCCATCTCTCCAATATATGGACCCCAGCATCTCATGGAGGCTCTTGTACATGGCTGCTGGTCCTAGTGGCAGATGGATTGTTTTGAGGCACTAGTGGGAGGTGGATTGCCCTGTGGAGACTGCCAGTAATGTTACTAGCCGAGAAATAATTAAAAGCAGAAAAGTATGTCCCCTTTTGCTCATTTTGTGTGTCATTAGAAGTTCTGTGAGTGCCTAATGTTCTGTGAGGAGAGGTGGGTTAGGTGAAGGTGAAGTGTGATGTGCTCTGACCTGGCACGGCTCTACGAGCGATAGTGGTGCTTGGGCCAGGTGCCAGACGATTGGAAGGTAGCTAATGTGGTCCCCATCTTCAAGAAAGGGAAAAGGGAGGACCTGGGCAACTATAGGCCCGTCAGTCTCACCTCAATCCTGGGGAAACTCTTTGAGAAGATCATCAAGGAGCACATTTGTGATGGGCCGGCATCAGAAATGATGCTCAGGGGCAATCAGCATGGATTTATTAGGGGGAGATCATGTCAGACCAACCTGATTGCCTTTTATGATCAGGTCACAAAGGCCATGGACGCAGGTGTCGCGGTGGATGTAGTCTTTCTGGACTTCAGCAAGGCCTTTGACACCGTCTCTCACCCCATCCTAATTAATAAACTAGGCGACTGTGGCATAGATGCCTACACAGTCAGATGGATTGCAGATTGGCTGAAGGGTCGCACTCAGAGGGTGGTGGTGGATGGATCATACTCGACTTGGGGGGAGGTGGGTAGTGGAGTCCCCCAGGGCTCGGTCCTGGGGCCTGCGCTGTTCAATTTCTTCATCAGCGATCTTGATGTTGGGGTGGAAAGCAACCTGTTTAAATTCGCTGATGACACCAAAATTTGGGGGGAGGTGAGCACGCTAGCAGGGAGAGAGAGATTGCAGAAGGATCTGGATAGGTTACAGGGGTGGGCAAACAGGAACAGGATGTGTTTCAATACGGACAAGTGCAGGGTGCTGCACTTGGGTAGTAGGAACCAGCAGCACACTTATACGATGGGGAGCTCCCTACTTGAGAGCACGGAGGCGGAAAGGGATCTTGGTGTCATTATTGACTCCAAGATGAACATGGGCCGACAATGCGAGGTCATGGTTGGCAGGGCTAACCGGACCTTGTCGTGCATCCACAGGTGCATCTCGAGTAGAGCCAGGGAGGTGATCCTCCCCCTCTATGCGACGCTGGTCAGGCCGCAGCTGGAGTATTGTGTCCAGTTCTGTGCGCCCCATTTCAGGAGGGATGTGGACAACATGGAGAGGGTCCAGAGGAGGGCCACCCGCATGATCCGGGGACAACAGGGCAGACCCTACAGTGAGAGACTGCGGGACTTGAACCTATTCAGCCTCCACAAGAGAAGGCTGAGGGGGGACCTGGTGACCGTCTATAAACTCACTAGGGGGAACCAGAAGGGTTTGGGGGAGACGCTGTTTCCCCTAGCCCCCGCTGGCATAACAAGGAGTAATGGGCACAAGTTGATGGAGAGGAGGTACAGATTGGACATCCGAAAAAACTACTTCACAGTTAGGGCGGCTAGGAGCTGGAACCAACTTCCAAGGGAGGTGGTGCTGGCCCCTACCCTGGGGATCTTTAAGAAGAGGCTGGATACCTACCTGGCTGGACTCATTTGAGTCCCGTTTTTTGTTTAGGGTTCTTTTGTTGTTCTCCCGCCCTGGCGGGGGGTCGGGCTAGAAGATCTATTAGGTCCCTTCCGACCCTAAAACTATGAAACTAAAGTATTGAAGAGATTAAGCTCCAAACTCTACCTGTGCTGACTGAGGTGGAAGGTGGGGGGGGTGGGGGTGAGAAAAGCAACATTTGCACTAAGTCTAGGCACTGTGTCTAGGCAGATTGAAATGGCTGTGCAACTGATCTTTGCACTCACTGGGTGCAGCTACATGAGATGCTTTACTACATATTAGATTAATCTAATGCATAGTAAAGAATCACTGTCAACACATATGCAGCAATTATTAAGCAGTAGATTATTCTAATGTGCCATTTTCTAATACCTGGAGATGCAGGTACTAGGACCAGGAGCAAATTGCTCCTCACCAGCCTAGGCAGCAGGGGGCCACAGGGGGCGGGGAGAGCAGTTGTGGCTCAGTGGAACACTGCCTCCCAGCCATGTGGAGATCAGGTCAGGGAAGCTGCTTACTCGGCAGCTGGGACAGCTCTCCCAGCTATGTGGAGATCAGAACCAGCCCCCACCTCCCAACCAGCATCCTGGGGAGCCTGGAACTCCCCCTGGCTGCTGCAGGGGGGCAGAGCAAAGCAGAGCAGAAGCAGCCCTAGATTGAACTCCCATTGGGAGCAGATTGGCTCCCAACAGGTTCATGCTTAAGAGCGGGGGTTCAGTTTAAGAATTTTCTGCCCAGAAAATTAAGGCACATTAGTTGCATGTATAGATGCCCTCAGTGATGCTGATGGGAAGAAAGATGTAACATCCCACAAGTGCAGCAACAACCCCCAACTGACTGTTGCCCAAAGAACATGTCCATCAGTCCACTCAAAGGGAGCAAAGGCTTGGAAATGTTAAACAAAGAGTTCACAAGAGACTCTTCTATTTCTCAGTGGCATGGGGGATAGCACTATTATAAAAATAGTGTGATTAGGCCCAATCTAGGCTACAAATACTAATTTTTCAGCAGCAAGATAGTGTCAACCCTCAGTGTACTGAAGCAGTAATCTCCCTTCTGATTAGTCAAAATTGACCTATGGAGTATGTGGAGTGTTTGGACCTGCATAGCTGTGCAGTTGTCCAGCAGGTGGGTATCCTGGGGGAGGGAGGGAGTGGGTTAGGATAGTGATGGTCTTGTTTTTTCTTGGATTCCTGTTTTATTGGAAATATTTGCAATCATCTACCTCAGGATAGTACAGGCATGTGTGAACTCTGAACTCTTTGCTCCCTCATCAACTTCATAGTATTAAAGTCTTTATTGAAAAATCACTGGCCACAGGGAATTAGCAAATGAACAGGCCTCATGTCAAAGTGAGTGGAGTAGGGCGGCTGCTTGGGAGGAAACAGTGATATATTAATTCATTAGTACAGTGCTTTCAATCATCCCAAAGTGCTGTGTAAACTATATATGCACAAAAATACAGATGAAGCAGTTCTTAACTGGCTATGTTAACACAATAGAGGACTGTGAAATAAAGACAAAATATCATATTACATTGAAACTGAAGCTAGAATTTTAGGTCAACGGTAAATAAGCCCTAAAGCTTTATTTTGTCTAAGTTGCTCTGGCTTCAGGCAATTTCTTATCAGAAGTATCACGGTATATTTAAGGCCTCCAATTGCCTTGGACCTTTCTGTACCTTGTTTGATATTTTGCTCAATGAACATCCTAGATGATGTTTCCCCAGGGCTCTGCATACAGTGGTTTGCTCTCTGTAGAACTCATGAACTTGGACTTCTGAACAGTGCAGCATGTTTACTTCTGTGTTGTG